AGTGATTGTGATGGGCGGCAAAAGAGACTGGACGGAGAGACAACGAGCCGGTGCTGAATCGCTCACCCCGGATCACAAGAGCGAGTCGCAACGCAGGGAGCCCTTTCCCTGGGCGCCCGCCGTGGGCTCTTGCAGTGTTCACTGTCCAGTCCACGGGCCTTGGGTTGACGCAGGGAAGGGCGACGTGGAAGGGAGGAGCGACCCGGGAAGGTGGGGTCTACGGGATGAGCTCTTTCCCTGCATGCCACGCCAGCACCAGACATTGGCCGGCCGGGCGGTACTTGCGGGTACCTGCCGGTCACTTTTTTGATTCTGTCTCTTTCCTCCCTTGCGCCCATGTGCTCCATGTGCCACCACCTCCCCCAGAGGCCGACTCGATCTCGAACACCAACAACCACAGTCTAGACGCTTTGCAGGGCCCTCTGCTCTCGCTCCCACATATCCCGCGCCTAGTAGCTCCCCCCACCCTCCTCGCCAAATCAGTGGTGTTAGTGCTGGTGCGTGCTCTCTACTGTGGGCGCAAGTGGAATTGCTTGATTTCCAGGCCTCCCCCTCCTCCCGCGCCCCAGTCCGTGAAGCGGACGTGGCCAACGGTACGGACATTTTGATGACATTCGGCTCAGCAGCATCGGCTCCTCCTGCAGTGACTCGTCATCTGCCATTGCGTGCCCTATCTATCTCAGGTTCTCTGATCGCCCTTGAACCCCTTGTATTTCGTTTTCCTATCCCTCGCAGACCTTGTCTCTGAATTCCTCCCGGCACACCGAACCCGAACGATACTCAGCCTCAATACCCCCGGAATTCCTGCGCGTCGGGGCGAACTTTCTGGACTCCCTCCAATTCCCTTCTAGGGACCTGTCAAGCTGTCCACAACGCGAAACCAAGTCCATATTGGCATTCTTTCTCGGCGGTTTCACAACTCGATATGACGCGCCGCTGATTTTCCGCCGACCCCGAGCGTTTCGTTCCCTCGACTGAGAGTATTGCCTCGACATTTTTTTTTCGACTTCACCATCACTCACTGTTCCGTCCAAAACATCCGACAGCCGATCCCTTCACATTCGTCTCGCTGCGCGTCCTTTGACGTCGACGCCTATTCGCCATGGCTGCCGCAAACTCCTCAACGAGCGCTTTTGCCATTACGAAAGGCAAGCTCCTGCTTCTTGCCTCATTGGCTATCACGTTCGTCTTCCCGCCTGCATATGCAATCATGTGCTCTTCTACCCAGCGCGCGCGACTGACATTTCGTGCAGATGGTGGTTCGCCCACATCCTCCCGGGCTACCAGCCCATGATCAAGGCGCAATTCAGGTCACGATTGGATGAGGCGCGGCAGAAGATTCCCAAGATCAAGGTCGACTGGAATCCGACCGACGACCCGAGGGCTAGATACAATGCGTCTAAGCTTGCGCTCATCATCGAGCCTCGTCCGCTTCCTCACCTCGTTCCCCAGCTGCTGCATATGACGTCTGTCGTGCCTCCTGACTGGAGATTCCTGTTCATCGGCTCAAACAAGAGCACAGTAAGCATCTCTCGGAGCTACGGCGTCAAGCACCAGCAGATCATTGGCAAGCTGGACTTGATGGTCCTTCCCGAGCCTTGGTCGATCGAGTCCAAGGAGCACATTTACCGCCTTTTGACCGACCGACGTTTCTACGACGAGTTCCTCCCTGGTGTGGAGTGGATCCTCAAGTTCGAGTCGGACAGCATCCTGTGCTCCAACTCTCCGACGAGTCTGAATGAATGGTTGGACTGGAGCTGGGCTGGCGCGCCCAAGTAAGTCAACCGCATACATCAATACTACTGCCGTCCTAACCCACGCATAGAACGCCCGACGACCGTTTCTCGGGTAACGGCGGTCTTTCCCTCCGTAGAGTATCCTCTATCAAGAGGGTCTTGCAATTCCAGGAGAGATATAACAACACAGAAGCAGAAGATGAGTGGTACGGCAAGAGACTGTGGGTGATGCAGGGGGAAAAGGTGGCGCACGGGAAGAAGGGCGCCCTCGCCGTTGAAGAGGTTTACATGGAGAAGCCGATGGGATACCACATTCCCGACGGCGGCAAAAACCTTCCCGACAAAGTCTGGAAGAACCCGACCCAGCGCAAGAAGATCTTTGACTACTGTCCCGAGGTCAGCCTGATCATGGACATGAAACTCGAACGCGAACGCTGCGACGGCGACAACAGAGAAGGAGGTATAGGCCCCACCGACGCAGAGAAAGAGCAGGCAGAAAAAGAAGCTAAGCAGAAGGCCGAAGAACAGGCAAAAGCAAAAGCGGAGGAGGACGAGCGTCGTAAAAAAGAAGGTGAGGCAGAGGCCGCAAGACAAGCAGAAGAGGAGCGCAAGAAGCAAGAGGAGCAGCAGAAGCAGCAAGAGGAGCAGAGGAAGCAGCAAGAGGAGCAGCAGAACCAGCAGCAGGAGCAGCAGAAGCAGGAGCAGGAGCAGCAGAAGCAAGCCGAAGGCGACGCCCAGAACAAACCAGCTGACACCAAAGCAAATGGACTAGACGACCTTGACGAACATGACCTCGACGAAATGCTCAAGCTCGACTACGGTCTGGGGGGCGACGGCTCCTCTCCGTCCGGCCCGGGATCCACTGACGACGCCGACGCCAAGGCTAAAGCGATGGCTGAAGAGGCGAAAGCGATAGCCGCCGCGAAGGGATCGGGGAGCTCTCAACCACTCTAAGGACAGGACCGAACAGAACCCCAAAACTTGACAAGCGATTGCCGGGCCCGCGACATGCCACGACTCGGCGAACCGATAAAGCTGACCGTTTACCACAGTCGGATCGGAATGCTCCGGGGAAACGTCAACGACACCAGGACGACAATGCCAGTTGGTACAACAACGAAAGTTGAGGCGACAAGGGAAGTCATGTTCTACATCAACTAATCCGAAATGACGGTGCTTTAACAGTATGGAGGGGGGGATCTTTAAGATGCACACCGTGGTTCAATACCAGCGGGGGCACTGATTTTTTTAGGTTGCCGCGAATGCCGAGGCTTCCGCAAACGGCGTTGGACAGAGGGTTGTCGTGCGGTTGTGGCCGACGTCACCCAGACGAGGCGAGGAATGGTCCGATAATGGATTGATATACCAATTCCGGAGAGTGTGGCGTCGGGCGTCATGGAGTTTATATGCATAACCTCATTCAGCACAATGGTAGCCGGGTTACCGGCACATCGGGGACAATTCGGGAGGGCAGTGTGGGAGCTGTCAAGCAGGACACAATTTCAAATGAACATTCCGCGGAGAACAAGCTTGTTTTCGCCCAGCCAATTGCATGGTTTCAGTGAGAACTTGACCGGCCACATCTACAAGCAGCGGGCACGCCGTCGCGGGAGCTCGGGTTCGGTTTGCTAACGACGGTACCAACAACTCGGTTCACCCTGGTCCAAATATTATCGCGCGACTCGGCCCAAGCAGCCGGCCGAGAGGCGAGATGCATGAAGACGATGGGATGACAGCACCTGTGCCATGCCGATCCTCCGATGAAGTCTGCACTGCTTTGTTTGTTTGTTTATCGCACAGGCGCTTCGTTCAACTAGGTATCATGGCTAGGCTTCCATGCAGGCGCAAGGACGTCATCTGCAAGCTTGACCAGACCGGTGGGCTCGCGTCTGTTCTGACCTGAAGTCAAATCTGCATCTCAACATCTGAGAGATGGCCTGCCCTCTGCCCAGATCGGGTAGTTCAACGCCAAGACCACATCAACACATGGCCGGGCGACGGATACTGACGCAGATTGCAGGATACGCACTGAGGTGTCAGGGGACGCTGCTCACCAACGCGGTGCGGCAGAGCCAAGCATCCAGGGTTCCCCGTGGAGGAGAAAGGAATGAAAGATGAGATCGACCGGCAACCCGAATGCGTTCGTCCCATTTCTATTTTTTTTTCTCCGATCTTGCCAGCGATGGCCCAATCAACGGGGTGCGCTACTGTCAGGCACGTCCGGGTTTGGTCTAGTGCTGCCGCGTTCTTGACTCTGGACCAGAATCGCTACTCTACCCGGAGCCAAAATGGACAGACACGGAGGTAGGCTTCAACACCACGGAACAGGCTCCCAAGATAGCCTTGGAACGGGTGATGTCTTGTGGCGCGCCCGACCAGGCTTGTCCATGATCGGTTCTCTTTCTTGTTCCTTCGACAACCTCCACAACTCGCTCCGTTCATTCGCCTTTCATAGCGGACGTCCAGAAGGGTCCAACGATGTGACCACGGCGTGGCATTCCACACCCCTCGAGCCTCTTCGAACCCGTCGGTGCGGCCCCGTACAGCCACTGGCGTCTTCGGCTCGTCCTGGCGTTTCCTCCCACAGTCACAGTCGCAACCGGTGGCTTGTCGCCCAGCCCGCTCTGACCGCGTTTCTTTCGTGTTCACTTACCGTCCCCATCGGTTCATCAGTTCCTATTCCCGTCTCGCTGCCTTCGGTATGGTCTCACCTGAACACTACCATGGCATCTTTATCGCTTTCGCTCTTGGCGACGAGCTCAATGAATTTCTTCAGAACGGGTGGGCCGGTTTGCAGCGTGTCTAAGGCTAGGCGCGCACATCACGGCGATTCCATGCCGATGAGTTCGTTGCTCCTACCCGTCCAGACGGTGATCGAGAATCTTTGACGCCACGCTAACTTTCCCGACCCGGCTACTTGGCGGCCTCGCCTCTTGACCCTCTAATTTCCATCCATCACTGCTCGAGCCTCCCAGAGAGGGGTGGGGGGTGCTTCTTTGCGTTCATCAGCAACCATGTTGTGGAGAATGTGACGCCGTTTCTGATGCCACGACTTCATCCTCGACGCCCCCCATGCTGTATATAACTTCGATGGCCGCGCTCGAATCATGAGAGGCTGTTTTTCTCGGTATCCTCTATCAAGGTGCTTCAGTGTCCCTACAAGAAGCTTGGAGTCATTCTTTTATCTCCTAGCCCTTTCCTTTTATTTCTTTGCACCACTCACTATACTTCATATCTTAGTTTTGTCTAATACAGCGAGCCACAATGCGTTGGTCTCCCCTCCTCCTCGCCTCCCTCACTGGGTTGGAATTTGTCCATGCACACGGCAACGACGAGCATGAGCCTCAAATGAACGTCATCTGGGGACGCCGTGGGCCCGACGACTTGCGAAAGAAGCGTGCGGCGTACGAGGCATGGAACCCTCCATCAGTGCCACTCAAACCTCGTGGCGATGCTACCAACCCCCTCGAAGCCCGACAGACATCCGGCCAGACACAGGCCCTGCCCTCCGGAATCGCGGTCGGAGATGGATCGCAGTGTGGTCCGAAGCTGGGAGCTTGCAACCCGGGCGACTGCTGTTCGGCTTCTGGGTATCTTCCAATGCTTCTCTGGCATGCAATCAGTGGCTAACCTTGGACAGATGGTGTGGTCGGGGACCTGCCTACTGCAACTCCCCTGATTGCCAAATCAGCTACGGCCCTGCCTGCGATGGCAACCAAAAGCCAAGCGGCCCCGACACTTCTAACGACGCCAGACCCAAGCTTGGTAGCGTTCCCTACGGCGGAGTTGGTATCTACAACTGCGTCAACGACGGTGATGTCGCCATCACTTACGACGACGGTCCTTACCTCTACACCGATGGTATGCTGGATGCTTTCAAGGCTCACGGCGCTGTTGCAACATGGTTCATCACTGGTAACAACATCGGCAAGGGTATGATCAACGCCAACTATGTTAGCACCATTCAGGTAAGACCTCCAAGTACGTCCGCAATCTGCCAGGGATCTGACAACAGCAGCGCATGGTTGCCGAGGGTCACCAGATCGCCAGCCACACGTGGTCTCACGAGAACCTCGACTCCTTGACTCTGGCCCAGCGCAAGAACCAGATGGTGTACAACGAGATCGCCTTCACCGACATCTTGGGCTTCTACCCTACTTACATGCGTCCTCCTTACTCCATCTGCGGATCCGAGTGCCAGGGACAGATGGCCGACCTTGGTTACCACATCACCTACTTTGATCTCGACACTCAGGGTTACCTGCACACTGACCCCAGCCAGATCGGCGTTAGTGTCAACCTGTGGGACCAAGCCATGCTGGCCAAGTCTCCTTGCAACGGCTCGTACTTGCATATCGAGCACGACATTCACCAGCAGATTGCTCAAGTTCTTACTCCTCACATTCTGGACTCTGTCGTTGCCAACGGCTGGAGGGCCGTTACCGTTGGCGAGTGCTTGGGCGATCCCGTTGAAAACTGGTACCGTCGCGGCAACCCCGGTTACAACTTCAACATCACCGCATCCAGCCCTGCGGTCTGCGCTAGCACGGCATCCAAGACAACCACTGTAGCTTTCTCTACCGGTGGCGCGACCACGCTTCCCACCTCCACGTCCCTGGCTGTCTCAATCGACGCTTCCTGCGGTGGAACCAGCGGAAACACCTGTCTTGGATCTACTTTTGGAAACTGCTGTTCCGTCAATGGCTGGTGTGGTAGCACCAACGCGTACTGCGGATCAGGTTGTCAGTCCAAGTTTGGTAACTGCGGAAGCAACGCCGGCTCCAGCAGCACAGGTAGGACTTCATCTACTTCTCGTCGCAGCACCAGCAGCTCCTCCTCACGCACCAGCTCTTCTTCGCGTGGCAGCTCGTCGACCGCTCGCACGAGTTCCAGCTCGTCGTCGCGGGTTTCAAGCTCCAGTTCGCGTTCCAGCACTGGCTCCAGCTCCAGCACTCGAAGCAGCACTGGTTCCAGCTCTCGCACTTCCGCTACCGGAAGCGTCACTGCTGCCACCACCGGGTCTACTTCTCGCACAGGAACTTCTTCTCTGACTCGATCATCTTCAGTCTCGGGCTCTACTTCAGGCTCTGTTTCTGGGTCTACTTCCCGCTCTACTTCTGCCTCCGGCTCGTCCACCGCCTCAGCGTCTTCTTCTTCTGCATCGGCTTCTGGCTCCGTTTCCGCCCAGTCTGGCTCATCCACGGCCAGCGGCACGGCTTCGGGCTCATCGTCTGCCTCTCGTTCCAGCACTGGCACCGCTTCTCTTCCCTCTTCAACCCTTCCTGTTTCCGACAACGGCGAGTGCGGTAGCAACAACGGCAGAACTTGCATTGGATATTCGCAGGGCAGCTGCTGCTCCCAGTACAACTACTGTGGAAGCACTGACGCTCACTGCGGTACTGGCTGCCAGAGTGTCTTCGGTACCTGTGGCAGCTCTGTCAATGCTACATCCCCCAGCGGCACCGCAAGTGCCGCGGCCGGCTCTAGCTCCCGCGCCAGCTCTGCCGGTACCGCCTCTGCCTCTGCTCCTCTCGCGAGCTCCACCTTCCCGGCCACTAGCGATGGAACATGTGGTGCCGCGGCCGGCAAGAGCTGTGTCGGCTACTCTGGAGGTACCTGCTGTTCTCAGTACAACTACTGCGGTAACACCGATGCCCACTGCGGCACTGGCTGCCAGTCTCTCTTCGGCAGCTGCCAGAGCTCCGCGTCCGGCGGAACCTCCGCAGCAAGCTCCGCTGCCGGTCAAGCCAGCGGTACTCGCACTGCTTCCGCCTCGGCGTCTACCAACACCAACCCTTCCAGCGACGGCTCTTGCGGTGGCACCAAGGGCTTCAACTGCTTGGGCACCAACTTTGGTGACTGCTGTTCGCCTTACGGCTACTGCGGTAACACCACCGCTCACTGCGAGACGGGCTGCCAGAGCGGCTTCGGAAAGTGCTCTGGCACCGGCTCGGATGTGAACGTGTCTCTTGATGGAAAGTGCGGCAACACGGGCGCCTCGGGATCGGAGACCTGCCAGGGCTCCACCTTTGGAAACTGTTGCTCGGCGTACGGCTACTGCGGTAGCACTGATCTTCACTGTGGCACTGGATGTCAATCCAGATTTGGCACATGTGGTATGTCAACCGAGGTCACAAGCGCATCGACGCTGACCTCTTCTATCTTACCTTCTGCTAACACTACTTCTCAGGCTCTTCCTCCGCAGCAACCACCTCTGCCAGGTAATACCTCGACCGTATCTTCGTCCCAATCGACCACCACGGACAGCTCCACTGTTGCTACTACTAGTAGTGCTTCGGTTGCTGCTGATGTCGTTGGTAGCTCTTCTGTTGTCACTACTAGTGCTTCCGTTTCTGCCGATGCCATTGGCAGCTCAATTGTTGTCACTACTAGTGCTTCGGTTGCTGCTGATGTCGTTGGTAGCTCAACGGTCGTTACAACCAGCAGTGCTTCTGGTTCTACTGATGCCGTTGCCAGCTCGTCTGTTGTCGCTACTAGTAGTTCTGTCGTTGTTCCGGATGTCGTTGTCAGCTCCTCTGTTATCATTACCAGTAGTGCTGTCGTTTCTCCCGATGCCGTTGTTAGTAGCAGCTCCAGCAGCTCGTCTTCTAGCAGCGCCACCAGCAGCAGCGTTCAGTCTTCTAGTAGTAGTATCAGCAGTTCCAGCAGCGATACCAGCAGCAGCGTTCAGTCCTCTAGCAGCAGCAGCAGCAGCAGCAGCAGCTTCAGCTCCTCCACGTTGTTGACATCCACCACGACCTCCTCTTCCGCTGCCTCTTCGCAGACGGCCAAGGTTGTCAAGGTCGTCAACAACGTCGGTGACTCCTGTGGTTCGACATTGGGACAAAAGTGCGGAACAGGTCTTTGCTGCACGAGTAAAGGTCAATGTGCGACTACAAAAGTGTGGGTTTGGAACAATGGCAATTGCTACGCGTTCAACGGCTGCCAGCCGGAATGGGGTACCTGCTTCTAAAAAAGGAGAAGATGAAAAAAGTTCAGCGCTGCTTCTGATGACAACAAAAACTGTTGTCTGCCAACAAAGTACATGGGGTGGGAAGAGAAGTAAAATCTCTCTGTTGTAATCACTAATTTCTTTTTTTCTTATTCTCTCGTCATGTCTTTCTTTTACTTGTTCATTTTGGAGTTTTATGGATTGGGGAGCATCGTCATTGATATAGAGCGATCAATACCTCTCATTTTTTGGGTAGAACCAGCTTGTAAAGTAGCCCACTTGGGTTTATTAGAGAAAGAAAAATTGATCTCTCGTTTCAATTATTTCTTGCGAGTTTCATCTGTTCAAGCCATCCTGCCCGGAGCTCATCAGCATTCCATACCTTATAGCAGTATCTCATCACAGCAAGTATATGACAATGAGCAGTGTAGCAGTCAGGCACCACAGTATACCAACATCATGGGTGAAAGCTTCTCATTCAATGCAGTGTATTCAGCATGGTCTGGCCCAGTCTATCTAGCTTTGCGAAAAACAACCCCCAATTTGGGTATCTGAATCCTTGTCCAACGCCTCGAATACTCCTGAGCTTTCCGAACCAACTTCATTACCTGCCTGACTTCTCGCATCTTCAATTCGACCTGCAAAAATCAAAATTCGCCCTTTATCTCAAAAAGCCGGGCATGGTTCAAAATCCTTTGTTTTACAAGTTACTATTTTTGACGGACTGTGCTCGTTCAGTTTTCAGACTCGTAGGTGCGGCTGAGAGTGCAGCGGGCGGCACTACCGATCACGCTGAGAATGCTCTCCATGTGGTTGAGCCGGTTGAAGGAGGCGTTGTCCTGCTCACGCTGGAGGCGGACGGCCTCGCTCAGGTCCTTGATGGCGCTCTCGTGGTAGGAGTGGATGCGGGAGTTGAGGCCGTTGGTGTGGGTTACGTGCTCGGTCAGAGCAGCCAGGTCCATGTCGGCGGGCCGCTGGTCGAGGGCAGCAGAGTTCTCCTTGCGAAGAGCCTCGGCATGGGCCAGCTTGTCGGTGGCCTGCTTGTGGAGGACGTCGATGATGGCCTGGGTCTGGGCTGTCTTGGCCGCCTCCGGGTTCTCTACGGGGCTGGTTCTAGTGCGGCGAGAGCTGGCGTTCGGAGTGACGGGCATCTGGCGTTGACCCGTGTTGTTCCTGTCGGACGTCGCAGCGTGGTTGCTGGTCATGGGAACGCGGGGGAACGAGGTCACCATCAGGTTGGCGGTCGGGCCGGGGTTGGCGTCCTGGCTCTGGTTGCGGGAGGAGGAAGCAGCGGTCTTGGGGGTGCCCTTCTTGGAGGACTTCTTGGGAGGAGCCAAGACGTTGGCCATGAGCTTGTTGAGGAGGGGTGTGTCCTCGTTGTCAGTGTAGTCGTTGTGGGAGAGGCGAGACAGTCGGGCCCGCTTGGCGGCCTCGTCGTCCTCGTCAGAGACCTTGCGCTTTCCCTTGGCATTGGAGCTCTCGGACGGATCAGTGAAGGGATCAGGCTGCTGGAGAGAATCATAAGGGTCGGCAAACTCGGCGTCAGGTGAAGCGGTGCCGCTCTCATCCGTCTCCTGGACAGGCTGGCCGGCGATGCCGGCAATGGTCCACTTGTGGATGTTGTGGGCGAGGTCGGAGTGCTTGGCATAGTATTCCTGCTGGATCTCGTAGATGCCGCCTTCGATGGCGCCCTTCTCGTAGCACAGGGCCAGCGCGACGACCTCGGCGGCCTTGGGCTCGCGGTCGTTTTCGTACTCGTTCTGGATGTACCACAGGAGGTTGCAGTCGTTGGGGTCGGGGAACTCGACGCGCTTCTCGATGACGTCGATGATTGCCATGCGGAAGGCGTCGGTGACGTTGGAGGGAATGCGGTTGATGAGGAACTGGTGGTATTCGACCAGCTCGGGAGACTTGGTGTTGACCATGGTGGCGGTTGTCGGGTGAGGGATTGGAAGGATGAGGGCGAGGCTGTGGTCGTCGATATATAACGGGTGGAGGGCGAATGTGAAAATTGTTGTTGTGGTGAATCACTTTGTGTGGTTGTGATGTTGTTGAGATGTTGTGGTGGGAGAGTCGAAGCGGGTGATGGATATTTATGGCTGATGAGGTGAAATAACCAAGGTATGGAGGAAGGAAGGAACGACACTTCGATCCCTTTAGATCTTGTTTCGTACGTTTAATCGAACCAAGTCTTCAGCTAGGTGGCTGAAAGTCGCGAGCTGATTGATGATTCGTTGTGGAGGGTGATATTTTTAGGCTGGGTCGAGGACTGCAGGTGAGGAGGAATTGAGGAAGCTGCGGCCCCGGTATCAGCTTGTCTTCTCACTCCAAGTAGCGTTTATTTGGTCGTGTTGTGAGAAGTAGGGATGCAATGTCAAAGACTTGGGGAGATGTGGTGTCGTGGAAACCAGAGTGCGAGGAGAAAATTGTTTGATTCGTGGGGTGTTGTAGCAAAAAAAGCGCAGTGACAAAAAGCACCAATGTGCAGCTTTCTCAGTTGCTGAGAGTGGATGACTGGGACTTGATGGTGAATGTGAAATGTTGCTGTGGAAGAGAAAGTCAGAACAGCAGAGAGGTGAGCTTTTGTGGGGTCCTCAGGGATGAAGCTATCACCAGAGCATCAAAAAGAAGGAACGAATTTTCAGTGGTTCACTGATTTCTACTCTTTGAAAAGCTGTATCTCAAAGACACCTGGAAAGTGCTGGCGGTTTTCACAGAAAGGTTCACAGAGTGTTCAGGAAACCTATAACGCGAGAGATATAACAGCAAGAATTTAAGCAGAAATCATGGAAAGAGCGAGAGGCAGTAATTCACAGCTTTTCCTCCTACACCATGACATACAGTACTTGAGGGGCCTGGGGCGGTTTCTGATAGTGTTGCTCTTTGCCTAAAGCATCAGTTGTCTTTGACGGACATAGATCATGTTGACAGAGAGTGAGATGCCCAAACAAACAATGGCGAGAGAAACATTGAAGCATAGTTTCAATTCACACTATGTATCTTCCTAGGTATGCGTTTGACAAAGGATATGGCTTGTCTAAGCAATACACGCCTAAATTGGATGGACTGTTCTCTAAGACGGTCAGTTGCTGGCATACAGCGTCAGGTTGTACGGGTTTTCGTCCGAGGGGACCATTCTAAATGGGTAGTGTTGGCCATGTCGTGTCATGACATCCCGATTCAGGTCCTTGGCAGGATTCACTTTGGCGAGTGCTTAGACGGCAGGCCCCGGGACAGCAGGTCTCTGAGGACAGCACACGAGGAAAGGTGGGACGTCACGATAAGTTGCGCACCTGTTGGTTATTACTGCCGGGGTTTTCGCAAGAGAACCCAAAGGGATATTCGAATATGTGATGGCGCAGCAAACCCTCAATCCAGTTTGGACTTGTTGTCTCTATCGCGGCCATTGTATGCGTCATGTCTGAGGTGACTGCCGTGGTCAATGTGTTATGAGCTCTTGTTGGGAGATGACATCTGATGGAAGGTGTGACCGAAAGCCAGATAGACTTTGGAAGCAGGAGGGCCTCGCAAATAGGGAAGGGCCAAGATCAAGGTCGGGTAGGTAAGGCAGGATCCCGCCCTTAATTAGGTAGTCGCACTTCAGTAAATTCCCAATGGCCACCTGTGTCCCTTCTTCTTAAGCATCACTTGGACTCGACCAAATCCAGTCGTATCTTCCAGAAACACCTCCCGCAGGCAACGACCAGAAACATCATCCAACTGACCACAGACGTTCACGACAAGATTCTTCCAGCAGATCTCAGTTTATAGGTCAGTAAAATGAACGGAAACGGCGGCGATTGTGTACTGACATCACTCATACCAGGGTACCTTATCTCGGAACCGATAGCTGCTTTGGATGCCAATTGCCATCAGTTTACACGAAGCCCAAACTCGAGCTGAGGAACGCTATTGAGTGCTGCGACTTGCCCGGTTCACGTCAACCATGGCCCCACCCGCGATTGACGATCTCCAGGAAGATATTGAGGAACTCCAAGAGGATATCACGAATTTGACTAAAAGGAATACCACTCTTCAAGCTTCGATTGACGACTGGGAGCGTTTACTCTTCCACGATCACAGCGAACTTGCAACGGGATTCAAGAATGCTATTTTAAAACAAAATGAGCGAGCACGCTGGGGCCCGTGCTACCACTGGTCTGTCGAAACCACGTGGAAGCCAGATTATTCTTCCTTTGATTGCACCGAGGAAAACGCGAGCCAGCTGTTCGGCCCGTTGTTCTTCATGATCCAATCCGGAAACCTAAACGCATGCCATAATGTATTCATTGCCAGGATGAATCGATTGGCAGAAATTATCTCGTCCAGCACCATGACCAATGTAGCCGTTATCCGGTGGATTCTGGATGCGTCCAACAACATGATCGATCACGACTTGGACACCAACGCTCCAATCAAGACGGCGGTATGGGCAGTTGGAGACGTTCTCACGCGGAGATGGGTCTCACAGGAACCAATATTTTACATGGTGCCGGACATTTTTCAGCGTGCTATCGACATTGATCGAGCTGACGATAATGAAGATTCTCGTATGCTGCGTGTTCAAGTCGCACCCGAGCAAAAGACAGCATCCTTTGTCAAGGTCCCATCTGCGAAATGGTGTGTCTTGTTATACCCAACCGAAAAAAAATGCGCATTCGTTGATCTCAAACTGCTACCAGCTCGCATGCAGCGTGGTAAACAGCGCGTCGCCGGTCCTCGGAATCTTTTCTTTGAGCTTGACCTGTACCGAACAAACCATATGGCCTTTTACCGCACGCGTGGGCTTTGAGCAGGAGCTGTGAAAAGTCATGAGATAGAAAGCTGAAGAGCCATCGGAAGCCAGGCAGGGGCGGTAACAAGACCAAAAGTAGTAGCATAGACATGCGAGGAAACCCACGAGAAGCATAGACTTGGAGCATTAGTTCAACCGGATGAGTCATAGAAGGCACAAAAGATAAATACAAAGAGACTGAAACAATATTTCGTGCGATTCGCTACGTGAAGCATGCAGCAAAATTCGATTTGGCATAAGACAAACAATCAGCAAAAGCTTATCGTATTGCATAAGTGAGGTTGCGCGCACTACGACAACCAGAGTCATCCAAGGATATGCTCCGAGACCCAAGAGGACATTCGGGGATAAGACGTCTCTAACGCCTACCGAAGTTGAACCTTGACGCTGTCGAGGGGACCCCTGAACCCTTGGTGTGATCAGAGGGTCGGACACGGCGCTCAGGCAGTCGGTCGCTAGGTTGATGTAGGATTCATCGGCCGCTGAACTCCTCCTTTCTCAATGCCTTCGTCGTACAGGTATTAATAATTATCACCACAGCTCATCAAACTGTCTACGAATTCTGCCAGCGCGGACCATTTCGTTGACCAAGATACCCCTTCCAAGTCATGACGTCTGGCGAACAAGCTCAGAATGACGGCTTGAGTTTATGCAGGGCGAAGGCCACATCGCAGCACGCGACGGGCCACGCGAGATCAAACTCTGTGGTAACTTCTGACTAGCGGCTCACTGAGTTCTGTCACCTTTTTAAGCTTATCGTTATTTCTCCACGGCCAGGAATTGACTCGACGTCGTTGAATATTCGACGACGACCAACGTCCTTCTCAAGGAACAATAAGCTAAAAGAGACAAACACAGCAGATAAGTCTGTATACTCTGACGGCAAACAGGGCCAGTGTCGAAACAAGCGTGTAGCAGGCACATCAAAAAGATCACCGTGCCGCCAGGATGTGAAGACGCAGCAAAAAGAAACTTGACCAGCCTGGGGGTCGAACCCAGAATCTCCTGATTGCACGATGAATCGTAGTCAGACGCCTTGCCATTGGGCCAACCGGCCGCTTCAGCTGAATGAGCCGAGGTGGATGTTGGAAGACGAGAAGCAGTATGTGCCCAAGACGCTAGGAGGGGGCCGGCGAAGAGATTTTTCTTTGCATGAGCACGAGACTGGAGACGATGAGCTAGTTCAGTGGAGCGGGCGGGAGAAAAGAGAGAAAACACCAAGGAAAAGTGGACTCGACGTTGGTCGGTGGATCAGGTGTGATGGCGCAGAAGAAGAAAAAAACGCTCGGATGGGAAGGGAAGCGAAAGGATTCCCGTCAAAGGCTTGAGTCGTTGACGAGGGGTGCTCATTGGCTCACCGCAGGCCGGGCTCCCGGGTGGATCGGCCGGAGCATTTCGGTCACCAGAGCCCATCCCGGAACAGTTTCCAAAAAGGCAACATGTTTGCGCGCGAGGGGCGAAGCGAAGCGACGGCGGCGACTCTGTCAGATATTGCGCCAAGTCCCGTCAATTCCAATCAAACAGAATTGTTCGATTGTGATTCAATGTCCGAGTGGACCGCCATCCACTCCGCAAAATCCATCAGAGAGGGTTGCATTCGCAATGTCGATCAGATTCCGGAGAGATGGAGGCCCGTCTTGTGCCAACCTTCTTTTTTTCGTCGCGTTCTTGTTCGAATCGACCACACCCACACAGCAGCGATTTACACTTTTTGCACACAAACAGACGAGACGACCGCAAGGTACATGGCGTATTACCCGCATACGCCCGAGCATTGACCAACACACGAAACATGTTTCTGTGGACGGGCAACCCATGAAACGATAAACCCCTATAATTGGCATCATAGCGCCAAGATATCTCGTGTCATACCTATCGGATCACGGTGTTGTTGATGTCACTGGGGCCAATACGGACCCGATTCCGAGAAGTCTGCAAACAGAATCACCAACACATGATCATTGAGAAAGAAATCGTCTGACGCTTGAATTGCTCGTCGTGGCTATGTACTTCCGCGCTCCGGTCTCAACTACCCCTGAACCCTCCGTACAGCGCCGGTCCAAGCCAAATGGCTGGAGAATCCCTTAGGACCGGACGTCCTATGTAGGATAAGCTTTTTTTTCATATCGTTACAGATCCAGTAGTCCGTATGGTACTCTGCTTTCCGTAGCCCTCGTGAATCAAGCAACCGGCACCAGTGCCGGCGACCCTTCCATTACGCCTCCAACACCGCTAAAAGCAGATAGCTTAGTTGGGCTTGGCGACGGGGAGCGCAGGAGCGACAGGAGCCGGGGCGACGGCGGCGGGAGCAGCAGCAGCGGGCTTCGCGGCAGCGGCAGGGGGAGCGGCAGGAGGAGCAGCAGGAGGAGCGGCAGCCGGGGCAGCGGGAGGAGGAGCACCAGCAGCACCACCGGCGGGAGCAGCAGCGGGAGGGTTGGTTCCCTTGCCCTTGGCCGCAGCACCGCCAGCCGGGGCGGCGGCGGGGGGAGCAGCGCCCTTACCCTTGCCGGCAGCACCAGCAGCGGGCGCGGCGCCCTTACCCTTGGCAGCTCCAGCAGCAGGAGTAGCCTTGCCCTTGGCCTTCGCGGCGCCGGCGTTGGCCTTGGCGGCCTTCTTCGCCTTCTTAGCCTTCTTCGCCTTCTTGCCCTTCTTTCCCTTCTTGCCCTTCTTCTTCTTCAGCAGCTGGCGGGCGCGGACGGGGACGGCCTCCTCCTCGTCCTGAACGTCGGCGATCACACCGCTGGTGGTCTCAACTCCGTTGAAGGAGGGGACGGAAACCCCGCGGGGCTCCTGGTCACGCTCCTGCAACTGCTGATCATAGTTGGTGAAACTGCGGTGCGTGTTAGTGATGATCGTTGAGATACTGCAACTTTGACTTACGTGACAGCCCTGCTATCAACATCGGCGGGAGCACTGCTGACGCTAACGAGTGTCGAGGCGAGGAAGAGGGAGAATGTGAGGAACTTCATTTTGTTGGACTGAAGTGAACCGAAGTTATTGATGAATTAGATAATCGAACCCGGTCGATTTGGTGAACTGAAATTGGTTGTAAGGGAATGTATGTATTAAATCTGGTATTGTGAGGCCTGCCGTCGAATCAATCCAAGAACCGCCAAGAGAGAGGATGGGTTGAAGCCTTTATGTACTCACCCGCCTCTCGTCCCAAACCGGGACCTCAACAACAAGACTGAGAGTGGCGTGAAGCGGAACATGTCGAGAGAGGGTGACCGAGAGCCTGAAACCCCCAAGCCCAGGGGCAGACAGACGTCAATGTCCAGGCGCGATGTGCTGAGCCACTCCAAGGATTCGCGTGAAGAGACCGGATTGTGTAGATGGCGCATCTGCTGCTGCCTCTCTCATCGCATCATTCAGAATAGCAACACCGTTGAGTCAGGCCAACCGCAGAGTCGTGTTTCGGAACTCGGTCCATCGTCGTCCAAAGTCCCTTACATCCAGACCTTCAAAGGGGCAAGGTGCTCGAAGCAACCGAAACTCTAATCCTTCGTCCGATGTCGCCAGTCTCCCTCACCCTATCTCTCCTTTTTCTTTTTTTCCTCATCGCGTATCATGCTCTGCAGACGAGAAAAGACCCCCACTGCGCCAGCCAAGGTTATTCATGCTTGATTCGAATGCGCTCTCATCTGTATGGCCGCCCCTGGCCTGGTCTCAGCGACAAAGCAGGAGGAACAGGAGCCCACACGCTGGTATAACCACAGCCGCGGGTGATCGGCCCTTGTCTGGCTCGTGCCTTTTTGCAAGATCCCCCCTTGCTGTTCTCACCACGTTTGAGGCAGTAAGCTTTCTGGCCCGAAGGCGTCGGGGCCACAAGCTGCAAAACATCTTGCAAGGAGGCGAGAAAAGTCAAACCGCCTCAAACCACCTCGCCTCGTCCGACCTGGCTTCGCTTTCTGCCCAGAGCCATTCGTTGCATTGCCATCCACGACTCGACACCGAGAACGAAGGCTTTCGATAGGCTGGAAGTTCAGCCGTTCCCTTGGAGGATTACGCACATTGTAACTTCTGTCAAGAACCGTTTATCTTCCCAGTTTACAAATGACCAGGACATGGTGATGTCAAGTAAGCATACCTGCCTAAGCATACTTGCCCATGACGCTAGCGTCCGGCCCCCAATGGAGCTCGATCCAATTCCGGATCTCTTCGTCGCCGAGCAAAGCTCGATGAAAAATTGCATATTCGCGATGCAAAGGATCAAAAGACTGACGCGTCGCGGGTAGAAGGTGCCGGTCAAGGTCGATCGCCGCTGTCAATCAAGCTTTCTTGACACTGGAAGGCTTAGGTTTGGGAAGCAGGCGGTACTCCTCAGTAGCAAAATGCGCCACAAAACCTGCCGGAATACCGAGCCATTGGGAGCGCCATCAACTGCCTCGAACTGCTAGTGGATTCCCGTCTGGCGAGCTCTCACGCGATCCGTAGGTTCCGCCCCCGCGGGGAAGAAAAGGGGACCCAGTCTGCTGGTGTTCAGACCCCCCCTGGTCCAGTATCAGAACGTGGTAGTGTGTAGGAAAGACCCGGCTGCGAGTCTGCCTGCATGCAGCCGCAAGGCCCTCGCTGGCCGAGAAAGCCTGGACCGCACCACGCAGAACCTGAGAAACGGGCTGTGTAGCCACGGGCTTCACATGATGTCGACGTTGAGGTGCAACGGCGGTGGCCGAGGGATCCAGGGTGACGCCTTGTACAGGAAGGGACGTCTGCCCCTTCTCGTGATAATTGCAGATCCTTTGTTCCAAAAGGGATCCCACGCCCGTTTGCAGCGGTTGCATGTTGGTTACATGTCTTGGCAACCCCAGATTCGCGAGCCTACTGGATCTCCAGGATCGGCTTGGGTGATTTGGAAGAAAATCTCTGCGATTCGAGACACGGGCCAGGCGGTGGCCTGTCGAGGTATTTCGGGAAGTTTGAGCCGTGGTGGTTTGGAGACAAGTTTTGCCGGAGTCGCCAAAGCGCATCGCGAAGAACGTCGCAGCCGGGTTTCCACATTATGATCGCCTG